GATAGTAATCTAGCTGCAGATCAAGTCATGGCTGACTTTGATAGGTCTCGGAATAGTTCCATTGAAAAGGGAGAATTCGTTGATGGCGTCCTTAGATGGCTGGAAGAAGCTAAGCGTGTTGTTGCTGGTTCTGGCGCCTACTCAAAAAAGTTTATGGATGATTTTCACATTGTAAGTTTATAGTCACATGTTTGCGCAGTTGTTTTGTCCATCAAGATAAATCGCATCATCCTACAATTGTGCAGACAACAGGGGAAGAACATAATGCACTGCTTGACAAGCATGAAGAAGATGATGAATCTATTGAAAATCCAACCTGGACATGCTTCAAAGCCATTTCACTTTTGCTTCTCGGAACTGCAATGGCAGCTGCATTTGCAGACCCACTCGTTGATGCTGTGCACAACTTTTCAAGTGCTACCAGTATACCATCTTTCTTCATTTCCTTCATTGCGATGCCCTTGGCTACTAATTCCAGCGAGGCTGTCTCAGCCATTATCTTTGCCAGCCGAAAGAAGCAACGCACTTTGTCTCTAACATTCTCTGAGGTATGTCTGTTGGATACCTTGTGTTTACTGTTGACAATTGGAGCAGTCATATAAATACCTTCATTCTGATTGATTTCTTAGTTTCAATGTTGTTTTCCCTTCTCTAACTTTTTTTGTTTTTATTTCTCCTATACTGTTAAGCTAGTTATTTGGTAATCTTTTTATACTCCTCTGTCCGAAAAAGCTTGTCCCGGTGCTTGATACATCCATTTGAGGGACAAGCTTTTCCGGACGGAGGGAGTATATTGCAAGGTATTCTGTGGAAGAAATTAGAAACAGTTTTCCGAATAACTGAAAGTTCTTACATACTGTAGACTTGGGCTTCCTTGGTGTTCTGTTGTTACTTGTTACCGTGGAATTCTATTTTTTTTCTTGTTTTGTGCAGGCTTTTTTTTTAGTGGATATAGGATGTACGGTGCATAAATATTTGTCTTTTTTGTGCAGCTGCTTTTAGATATATGAGTATTTTTCTGTATTCTTCTTTTTTCTTGGTCAAGCTGCACCCAAATATTTATTCCGTTCGGATACATGTGAGACAAAATGTGAGAGGACAATCAATGGATGTTAGATTCTGTACAGAGTTAGTCGAATTTACAGAACATGATAAGAGAATTTTATCAACACTTCTGGACGTAAGCAGAGCACATCACATCACAAGAAAGCTTAAACTGTGCCTTAGAAGGCGTAAGGTGCTTTTAAGGAGTTAATACAAAACTAATTCCGTGATGGTAGCAAGGGTTTGACCGTTTGAGATCCAAATTGATGATATTTGAAAAAACATACTTCAGATGATTAAAAATTCTACTCAAATGGCAAAATGAAATTCTACTCAAATGGCAGTATGGAAAATCTGATTGATTGAATGATTTTTGGCATCGCTACATACAAGTCACTCTCGGATCTTTGGCAAAATCTTATTTCATTGAATGATTTTGGGCATCAATACGTATAAGTCACTGTCTGATCTTTGCAGTCGAACGTTGATACATGTTTTCTCAGTGGTACATGGATACATGTTTTTTTAATAAGGCAGGAGCTTCGCAACACAAAAATCTTGCCATACCGCAGTATTTGTACGCCTCAAAAGTTCCAAAAAGGGAATTTCATGTGATGCCGCCATTTAAACTGCAGGTGTATGGTGGAGTGACCATGAACAACACGCTCTGCCTGGCTGTGTTCCTGGCTCTCGTCTACATCAGGGGCTTAACTTGGGACTTCTCATCGGAGGTGCTCGTCATCTTCCTCGTGTGCATCATCATGGGCCTCTTCACCAGCTTCCGGACTAAGTTCCCGCTGTGGACGTGCTTCGTCGCCTTCCTTCTGTACCCACTGTCGCTGATCTTGGTTTACATCCTCGACTACAAGTTTGGCTGGTCGTAGACCTAAACTGAATGGCTGATTAGTTGATAGGTCTGATATACGGCATGGATCACTCCTCTTACTGTTTGTAACCCTCAGTCTGGTACGTGTTTCCGGTTGGATGCAGACTATGGATTTGACATATTGCATACTTGGGGCCGTCACTAATAAGTGAAGATGAACTCTGTGATCATGATATCGCGTGTGTTGCTGCAGGAATTGGTTGCAGTATAATTCATCGAGATTTGTCATACGAAACATGAATCTATTGTATAGTTGTTAAACATCTGTTGACAAACTAACATAACTGAATGAGAAGTCTTTATCCATGCATGGTGAATGCTTTTTCATACATGGCTGTATATTTTGAGGTGGTATGTTTATCTATTTATGTTTGGAGTTGTTATGTTTCTATTTACTGATTTTGTTGTTATAATAATAGTGCTTATGTCTAGGTCAGTGTGAGGCTTGCAACTTTCTTCTGTGAAGCTCGGCTGCCATGTCCTCAATGCTGTGGTTGATTGTTTGGTGATGTTGTGTCCAGGTCATTCGCATATGCCCCTTGTGGGGTTAGTAGTACCTAGGTCCCGGTTTTCCTCTAATTAGGCAGGCAATTCTCTTCTTTTTAATCAATGAAAATGGCAAATCTTTTGCCTCGTTTCAAAAAAAAAAAAATAGTACTTAGGTCTTGCTCGTCACCAGACAATTTCAGTAAAATACAACTCAACATGTGCACCAGCACCACTATTACCCCATCAGCCATCCCCCACTAAACTAAATCTACCAACCAAAATTTGTCCAGTCTGAACTCGCTGTTGTTGCGCAGATCAAATCAATCATCAGAAGACCTTATAGTTTTCCAGAAGCTCTTCCATTTCTTGGTTTTCAGGCTACCAACTGGTGCCTGAAAAAAAAACAGTTGTTTAAGACTGAGAACGGATGTAAGAGCAAGGCAAAAATACAATACTGACGAACAAGGCCATTAGCTTAGCAAAAAGAAGATGACCTGTCGATGAAGAAAATGCGGCATCAGCGTAGCTTAAAAATTGAAATGGAACTAGATTTCGGATTTTAGAATTTGGAGGCTTAGAAGTGCATTCATCATCTAAAGCATGACGAGCGTTGTCATCATCATCATTAGGTTCGGTCTCGGTTAGTTTGGCTTGGTACTTCGGCCATTGGTTTATATGCCCGCTCCTAATCATCATCATTGACTACATACTCAAGGTTCCTACACTGCAACTCTCCCAGCATGGAAGTAGGCTTTTCTCTATTTGATTTTCAGGGTCAACTTCCCACTCACAGGAGCCGTCCTTGTAATGACGCCAATTTTGATCATAAAAATAAGTTTACCCATCATCTTTGGATTTAATCGTTCTACTTTTCACATCATGAATACATGATCCAATTCCGCTTTATGGATGAGCTACAAATGGGCTGCGGAAGAATTTTCTTTTCCATCTCCCTAGTTCTAGATTTTGTGCCCCATATCATTCAACTTGACATGTTGCAGCATTATAGGCGTAGTGGAGATGCCAAAGAAAATTATTTTTTTGTCATTAGTCTTTCATTGGCACAGTGGAAATAAGGTATCAATTTGTATTTGTAGATTTCATTATGTGAAACAAATCCGATGAAAGGCAAAACAGCAGGAAACTTTTTATTCAAATCCACAACATAGTGATGTAAATTTGGAATCTTTAGGGTACCGTCCGACCCTATTTAATACTCCCTCCGTTCCTAAATATTTGTCTTTCTAGAGATTTCAACAAGTGACTACATACGAAGCAAAATAGGTGAATCTACACTCTAAAATATGGCTACATACATCCGTATGTTGTAGTCCATTTGAAATGTCTAGAAAGAATTATTTAGGAACGGAGGGAGTATAATTCAACCAAAGGAACTAAAATTTCAAAAGTAATGTCAATTCTGAAAACTTAGTTCATTTAGTTGAACTAAGGAGGGTCGGAGGACACCAAATTTGCATCCCTACCGCAACGTGTATCAAGATTCTCTGAAGTTACAAGGAAGGTCTCTTTTATAAGTAGCAAACTAAGACTGAAAACTAAAATGGAGCACAATCAAACAAGGATTGCAACAAAGAGATGCAATGCAAGGAACCTGGATTTTGGTACGCAATGATGATCATACTTGTCCTGCTTTCAATAACGAATAAGAGATATAAGATACAACAATAGCTGCAAGCTCTTCATAAACACAAATGTTTCATGGGCTGGAAAAGCAAAACAAAAAGGTACCTATACTGAAGTACTAAATTTTGAGACTAAACAGTGACACCTAAGCTCATGGGCTTGTTGTTTATCGGTCCATTCATTATTCCATTAAGCAAATTTTGCAACCAGCATCAATTTAGCTTAGTATTTTGCTGGTACGGTCATTCTCTTTATGTCAAACCAAAATGATTGGGTTCACAAATCAACATCCAAAATCACAAAGCAATATAATTGGGTTCACAAATCAACATCCAAAATCACAAAGCAATATAATTGGGTTCACGAGTCAAATAATATGTTCGTGAATCAGAGTCGGCGGACCAAAATCACTAGGTTCACGAACCAAACATGTATACTCCCAGCAAAATGGGAAGTGGCTAATCAAAAAGGAGCAAATTCTGAATATGGTAACCATGATTTCAACAATTGCAAGTTTCTAAAAAAGCTAGAACCACTAACAGTGACAACAATTATAATATGATTAAATAAACTCATCTCCGCAGAGCAATTCCACATATAATATAGCATCAGGTCCAGAAGCATTGCGGACAAGTCCATATCCAAATTTATCAATTAGCTGTGTAAACCTAAGGCCAAATTAATTCATAATCAAGCATGTTCACTGGAAAACTGGAAATGGCACTGCACAATCCATATCTATCTAGGTGCTGATCATTTATTGCTCTGCTATTCATTAACTAGGCAATGTTACACACTATCACCCATAGCAAACTGTTGAACATTCAAAACATGGGTCAAGGGGGTGACAAACCTTAAAATGTTATTCCAACACGACAATCCAGCAACATGCTCCCAGACCAAGCATGCACAGAGTCTCTTTTTCCATTTTGTCTTTTCAGGTAGAAACTTCATTCGGCACCTTCTCAGCACAGTAAGATGCATAAGTCGCAGCAAGGCCTGGAATACTCTTCTCATAAGGATGCACATACTTGTCCAGAAACTTCCTCTCAGTCAGCGCGACGATAGAATAGAAGTCAAGCTCAGGATAAAGCAAATCCTTCGAGTTGAGAATATTTAGCAAGGAATGCCGTGGCAACAACCGGCGCTGATAGCTATACATGACCAGAACTGGCCTTTGAGCTATATAGCGTATCTCCAGCCCAACATCCCTTGTCAAGAAATTCACAGTTGTCTGCATCCTTTCCTCGGACATAGTGAGGATACTCGGCATCTTCCTCACAGCAGTCAACACATCATCCTGTGACCAACCAAGCATTTCAAGGTTCCCCATTTTCCTGTCAATTTTCTCCTGGCTCTGAAACGCAAACGCCATGAGCGCGTAGCGAAACATCGGGGAATCCCGGGGCACGCCAAGCTTATCGATGTACAGCACGGCATTCTGGACGTACTCGGGGAGCCGAGTGAGCACCCGGGTAAGGTATGTATCTGAAAATTCTTTGACACTTATCCCGCATTGCTGGAGGATGGCCAGGTTGGGCTTGGCGACCTTCTCGAGGTCCGCTCCGAGGATGCCGCCGTTCGCCTTGATGGCCCCGAGGAGCTTCTCGAAGGAGCCGAAGACCGGGAGCCAGAAGGCGAGGTTGGGGCCGAGGGAGGAGCTGCGGAAGGTGGCGCGGGCGAGAGGGATGAGGCGCGCGATCTGGGAGCGCTTGAGGCCGAGACCCGTGAGCTCGTCGACGCGCTTGGCCAGGTTCAGCTCCACATCGGCGCAGAGGAGCTGCGGGTCGGCGGCGACGATGGCGGCGGTGCCTGAGGGGGAGATGCCGAGCGCGGCGAGGAAGGCGAGGACGGCGTCGATCCTGGAGGAGGACTTGAGGTGGGCGAGCTTCTTGGACGCCTTGCGCGCCTTGGGCCGGGAGAGGCCGCAGTTGGTGACGAGGTACTCCTCGACGGCGAACGGCTCTGGGGAAGCGGGTGCGGTGGCGGCGAGGAGGCGGTGGAGCGGGGAAAGGGGCGAGAGGGAGGGTGTGGGGACGTGAGATGCGGAGAGGAAGAGCTTTCGGAGATGGAGCATCGCGGCGGCGGCGGCGGTGGATTGACCGCTAGGCGTTTGGGATGTTGTAGCTGTAGGGTTTTTGCACTCCAAGTGGCCGATTTCTTGTTGTGCCGCTTTTTTTTCCTCATGGTAATACATGTCTTGTTCATATCATAAAAGATTAAAGTACAAGTCACATAAGGACCGACATGACAAAACTGAAAAGATAGCAGAACATCTTTGAGCTTGACACCAACGCCCATCACCTGCCTCCGGCACCACGACAGCAGCCACCGAAGAAAAGAATGATAGATCACCTCCTCACCCGAGCTCGACGCGACTCCATCGCTGATATGCAGCTTTGCGTACCTCCAAGGTGGCTCATCAAAAGTAAAGCCCTTATCGTTGAACGAATCAGACCGGGGCAACACCCCAGACACGCCATCGAACTCCAGATCTGGCACCCCACCGCGACTAAGACATCGCGGAAGGAAACCATATCTGTCATCCACGAACCACGAACCCAGCACATGTTCCGTCTTCCAGATGTCGTCGATGCAGACCACAATCTGCATCTGCTCCTGCATTACCTCCCAAGCTCCGCGCCGACGCTGGAGCAAACGCCGTCGCAACGGCGGAGCCCGAGGACACAGGTCCACCACGAGGATGTCGCCGCCGCCACGTCATCCTTGCTTGAACAGACTGGTTTCCAAATCCATCCCCAACCATGGGACCAATGGCCTTGTCAAGGAAGGATCCAAAGAATATTTATTCAGCGTTGTCATCGTCGCCACCGAAACAAAGACGATGAACAGTCTAAAAATCTAAACTACGAGGAAGTAAAAACGATCCACATGCGTGGATCCGGCGACCCCCCTCACCACCGACGACCGAGGGCGCCGGCGGAGGGGAGTCGTCGGAGGACGGCGCTGGAAGATTGGATCTCTTGGCGGCGGCTAGGGTTCCAGCCGCCAGGGACAGGAGGAAAACAGTGGACACTGATGTTGACCTCCCTTTCTTGCTGTGTCGCTGATGAGGTATATTTGAAGAGGTAAAAATAGGTGTTGTAGGTATTCATAGTGATATTTACATTTAAAAAATTTAACTCTGACAGATGATATATATTTGATGATATAAAACTACTACTCAGTCACACGGCAAAGATGCAAAACGGCTGACCACCACACAGTAGTGTATCGCCATTGTACAGCCGCAGTATTTGGAATCAAAATTATCATATAGAGCAATACATTCAGATTTAATATGAGCTCAACTTTCATAACAAACATAGTTCATAATCCAATAACCAAAAGTGCATCATATCAATCAAAGTTATTGGCCCAACAAATTAAACGGAAATATAACAACAAACATAGCATCTCAATTTTCATCCGATCCATTGCCACTAGTCACATTGTATACATTGACATCATCATCATCATCAATGGCTTCTTTGTCGATGTTTTCGTGCGTTGATGCATCGCGCGACTCCATTGGAAGCACCTCCAATGTCACTCATGTTGCTACTGAAGCCACCTCGCATGTCACTCATGTTGCCGCCGAAGCCACCTCCCATGCAATTCATGTTTCCATCGAACCCACCTCACATGCCACCGAAGCCACCATCCATGTTGACCAAAGCCACCTCCCATGTTGCCACCAAAGGCACCATCCATGGCACCTCCCATCATGTTCATGTAACCGCCCACTCCACAGACCTATGGCACCTCCCATCCCTCCTCACATTCCTCTTCCCATTCCACCCATGACACCTCCCATTCCACCACAAAAGACACCTCTTGAAGGAAATGTGCCCTAGAGGCAATAATAAAGTTGTTATTTATATTTCCTTATATCATGATAAATGTTTATTATTCATGCTAGAATTGTATTAATCGGAAACTTAGTACATGTGTGAATACATAGACAATACACAGTGTCCCTAGTATGCCTCTACTTGACTAGCTCGTTAATCAAAGATTTGTTATGTTTCCTGACCATAGACATGTGTTGTCATTTGATGAACAGTATCACATCATTAGAGAATGATGTGATGGACAAGACCCATCCGTTAGCTTAGCATTATAATCGTTACAGTTTTATTGCTACTGATTTCTTCATGACTTATACATGTTCCTCTGACTATGAGATTATGCAACTCCCGAATACCGGAGGAACACCTTGTGTGCTATCAAACGTCACAACGTAACTGGGTGATTATAAAGATGCTCTACAGGTGTCTCCGAAGGTGTTTGCTGGGTTGGCATAGATCAAGATTATGATTTGTCACTCCGTGTGTCGGAGAGGTATCTCTGGGCCCTCTCGGTAATGCTCATCACTATAAGCCTTGCAAGCAATGTGACTAATGAGTTAGTTGCGGGATGAAGCATTATGGCACGAGTAAAGAGGCTTGCCGGTAACGAGATTGAACTAGGTATGATGATACCGATGATCGAATCTCGGGCAAGTAACATACCGATGACAAAGGGAACAACGTATGTTGTTGTGCGGTTTGACCGATAAAGATCTTCGTAAAATATGTAGGAGCCAATATGAGCATCCAGTTTCTGCTATTGGTTATTGATCGGAGATGTGTCTCGGTCACGTCTACATAGTTCTCGAACCCATAGGATCCGCATGCTTAATGTTCGATGACGATTTGTATTATGAGTTATGTGATTTGATAACCGAAGTTTATTCGGAGTCCCGGATGAGATCACGGACATGACGAGGAGTCTCAAAATGGTTGAGAGGTAAAGATTGATATATTGGAAGGTTATATTCGAACACCGGAATGGTTCCAGAGTGATTCGGGTATTTTTCGGAGTACTGGGCCGGAACCCCCCCGGGGAAGTAGTGGGCCTTCATGGGCCTTAGTGGAAAGGAGAGGAGGGCTGCAAGGGTGCCCTCCCCCCCATGGCAAGTCCGAATTGGACTAGGGAGGGGGCGACGCCCCCCTCTTTCCTTCTCCCTCTCCTCCTCCTTCCCTCTCTCCCCCTCTTGGAAAAGGAAGGGGACTCCAACTAGGATTAGGAATCCTAGTTGGACTCTTCCTATGGCGCGCCCATCCTAGCCGCCTCCTCCTCTCCCTCCTTTACATACATGGCCAGGGGGCACCCCAAAGCACAACAGACAATCTCTTAGCCGTGTGCGGTGCCCCCTCCATAGTTTAACACCTCGGTTATATCGTCATAGTGCTTAGGCGAAGCCCTGCACTGGTAACTTCATCATCACCATCGCCACGCCGAATGCTGACGGAACTCTCCCTCGTCCTCAACTGGATCAAGAGCACAAGGGACATCATCATGCTGAACGTGTGCTGAACACGGAGGTGCCATACATTCGGTACTTGGAGTGGTTGGATCGTGAAGATGTTCGACTACATCAACCATGTTACTAAACGCTTCCGCTTTCGGTCTACGAGGGTACGTGGACACACTCTCCCGTCCCATTGCTATGCATCTCCTAGATAGATCTGGCGTGATCGTAGGAATTTTTTTGAATTACTACGTTCCCCAACAGTGGCATCCAAGCCAGGTCTATGCGTAGATGATATATGCATGAGTAGAACACAAAGAGTTGTGGGTGATAATAGTCATACTTCTTACCACCAACGTCTTACTTTGATTCGGCGGTATTGTTGGATGAAGCGGCCCAGACTGACATTACATGACCGCGTTCATGAGACTGGTTCTACCAACGTGCTTTGCACATAGGTGGCTGGCGGGTGTCTCTTTCTCCAACTTTAGTTGAATCGAGTTTGACTACGACCGGTCCTTGTTGAAGGTTAAAACAACACACTTGACGAAAAATCGTTGTGGTTTTGATGCGTAGGTAAGAATGGTTCTTGCTAGAAGCCCGTAGCAGCCACGTAAAACTTGCAACAACAAAGTAGAGGACGTCTAACTTGTTTTTGCAGGGCTAGCTGTGATGTGATCTGATATAAATTGTTGTATGAGATGATCATGTTTTGTAACAGAGTTATCGGCAACTGGCAGGAGCCATATGGTTGTCGCTTTATTGTATGAAATGCAATTGCCATGTAATTGCTTTACTTTATCACTAAGCGGTAGCGATAATAGTAGCAATAGTTGGCGAGACGACAACGATGCTACGATGGAGATCAAGGTGTCAAGCCGGTGACGATGGAGATCATGATGATGCTTCGGTGATGGAGATCGTGAGCACAAGATGATGATGGCCATATCATGTCACATATTTTAAGATGATCCCTTACTAAATTTCATGTCACATATGTTTGATTGCATGTTGTTTATCTTTTATGCATCTTATTTTGCTTAGTACGACGGTAGCATTATAAGATGATCCCTTACTAAATTTCAAGGTATAAGTGTTCTCCTTGAGTATGCACCATTGCTACAGTTCGTCGTGCCGAGACACCACGTGATGATCGGGTGTGATAAGCTCTACGTTCACATACAATGGGTGTAGGCCAGTTTTGCACTCGGGTTAAACTTGACAAGCCTAGCATATGCAGATATGGCCTCGGAACACTGAGACCAAAAGGTCAAAAGTGAATCATATAGTAGATATGATCAACATAGAGATGTTCACATTGAAAACTACTCCATCTCACGTGATGATCGGACATGGTTTAGTTGATTTGGATCACGCAATCATGTAGATGACTAGAGGGATGTCTATCTAAGTGGGAGTTCATAAGTAATATGATTAATTGAACTTTAATTTATCATGAACTTAGTCCTGATAGTTTTTGCATGTTGATGTTGTTGTAGATCAATGGCCCATGCTACCATTACATTGCATTTTAATGCATTCCTAGAGAAAGCTAAGTTGAAAGATGATGGTAGCAATTAAATGGACTGGGTCCATAACTTGAGGATTATCCTAATTTCTGCACAGAAGAATTACGTCCTGGAAGCACCGCTAGGTGCAAGGCCTGCTGCAGGAGCAACTGCGGACGTTATGAACGTCTGGCAGAGCAAAGCTGATGACTACTTGATAGTTCAGTGTGCCATGCTTTACGGTTTAGAATAGGGACTTCAAATACATTTTGAACGTCATGGAGCATATGAGATGTTCCAAGAGTTAAAGTTAATATTTCAAGCAAATGCCCGAGTTGAGATATATGAAGTCTCCAACAAGTTCTATAGCTACAAAATGGAGGAGAATAGTTC